AGCGTTTGTTTTATGTGGAGAAACTGCGTCATGGCAGAACCTAGTAGTTTCCTAGAAGAATGTGGCCAACCCTTTCAGACTATTCCTTGTTCAAAGTAATGTGGTGAGGATCAGAGTTTCTCTGCCCCAGTAAAATCTTGCCTTCTAAATACAACAAAGCTCAGGGGACTTGCTGACACCGTTAGAGCCTTACTCTTCTCATCTATGAAATATGGCTAATGGGGATTTCCACTCATGAGGTTCTAGTAAGAATTGAATAAAAAGAAAAAAACTTGTGAAACATGAGAATTGCTTAGTGTTCTATCTAGGACACAGGGAATGTTCAATCAGTGCAGTTATCACTGTTAAATTCAAAATAAAATGTGCAGATTACTAGGATGGCAAATACTCTTCTCCTTTGCATTCTTTTGAATAATCATGGTGCTTTGCAAATATCAGGAAATTTTTGATTTTTCTTTTCTTTTCTACCTGGAAAAATGTTTCAACATGTTGTCTGGGCGCGTCTTCTTTGAGGACAGGATATGTGCACTTCCCCATCATGTCGTAGATTGCTTTCATGATGTCAAGCATCTCCTGGAAAGTAAAAAACGCTCGTGTAAAGCTACGCACAACATATGAAGAAACCAACCTCAGAAGATTTGATTGGGTTTTTCCAACTTATCTAAAATTTCTGATTTTCCTTTGCTTCTTCATTGGACGACTTTTTGCTTGTCCCAAAGAAAAAGGGACACATCCTTTTCTGCTTTAAAAGCACCAGAATGAGAATGTAGGAACCAATTGTGATCTTGGTTTCAAAATGAAGCGGGTTTCCATGTATCCAGTATGATTAGGAAATAGATACTCTCATTTAATATTGGGATTCCCATAGGCATTGCATAGACGGTCTTTGTTCTATATGATGGTAACAAATTTCCATTTATTGAGAATGAAATACATCATATATTGAGCACACCATATATTGAGCATAAGATAAACTTCTTCTAGACTTACTAAAATTGTTGGAATATGTAACAATTTTTTTTTCCTACTACATCTTTAACTAAAGAAGTAATCCATGAAAAATTCGACTCTGAGAAACACCTTGACATTTTATCAATTTTCTAATAAAACAAAATCTAGTTTCTGCCTGGTCATTTTCATTCTTATGAGAGTAAAAATAATACCTAATTACTTAGACATTCAGATTTATTGTCTCGTACTTGTTTTATATTAAAAGCCTAGGGTATTACTTCTAGGGTATTCAATTCTGTTATAAATGATAAGGTAGTTTATAGTTTATAAAACAGGTAAAAACCTTTTAGATGTTTTGAGCATAGATAAATAGCAAGAAGTTGCCAGACATAGAATTCATGAACTGGCTAGAAAGAAGGGAATTGAAGGACCAAGAGATACTTAATATTGCTCAGGCATCTGGATAATAAATATTCAGAGTATACTGACCACACAGGAAGCGTTAACTATGCAGGATACGCTCCCCGTACATGAACATGTACTAGTCATGAGGTCTTAATTTGGCACCTGTGGGTAATGACCTTTCTGCCCCATGATCCGCTGTTCAGGAAACAAAACCCATGACT